GCCTCCCAAAGTGCTGGCATTACAGGCTTGAGCCACCGCGCTCGGCCGAGAAGCTGGTTTTCGAGTCTATAAATCAGTCTTGAGTTTTCTGCACGGCGAGACTCTCCTCTTGCATTGCTCTTCTGACGCGCACCCAGGGTGTGTCTGCCCAGGGCTGCCTCCTGCCCAGCAAGGCCGCTGTCACCATCAGGGCTTGGGCCCCGTTTGCTCCGCCGGGGGGGTGCCGGAGCAGGGTCCGGAGACCAGCACCAGGGTGGGGACGGAGGTGGAAGGAGGCATTGGAGGCCTGTTGGTGCTGGGGCCGCAAGTCGGCTCTGGTTGGCGGGAGCCCGGAGGTTTGTGGGACTCCGCTGTCCCTACAGCTCTCGGGCCAGCACTTCATTTTGTAAAGCAGGAGTCTCGATGTCTTCGTGAGTGTTGGATGGCGTGATGGGTAGGCATGGTACGAACGTCGCCACGCTTGCATGGGCATTGGTAGCCCTGTTTGCCCATTGACTTGCCACCAGCCCTGTGGGCTCTAGAACACAAGCACGCCCAGTGCCCTGTCTGTAGGCGACCGGGATGCTTTAGAATCACGCACAGCAGACCTCATAACCGAGCCCCTCTCCCTGGGGGCAGTGGGGCGTTTCTGGTTAGAAATTGCCGTTGGGGTGCCTGGACCCAGGACTGTGCGGCCTGCTCCCCAGAGGAGCTCACCCTCCATCCTCACCTGGGAGGCGCAGGTGGCCTCTCCTGTCCTGGTCTCCCTACCCGGCTCCTGGCTGCATGCTCTGTGGGTTCTCTCCCACCTCGCTGCCATCCCTCTCCCAGTCAGCTTTGCTGGCCCCTCCCCTTTCCTGCCAGCTTGCTCCCAGGCCTGGCCTGGCCAGCGCCTCCTGTCCTGCAGGCCCAGCTCACTCCTCCTCCCTTTCTCAGGCAATCCCAGCAGGGGTCACGTGCAGAACCTGCAGGCCTGGTGTGCACTGGGTAACTAGGCTCCAGAAATAGATGAGGCAGCATGTGC